GATAGGACGCGCACTTTCCTATTTTTTTTTTCTGCAGGTATCCCAAATGTGCTGTACTGTAAATATGTAGGTAGGCTGGTAAATCAGTTGGAAACCAGGGCCTGTTCAAGTGTCTGCGACCGCCGCAGCTCCCGCGGTCAAAAAGGCGGGGCTTAGCTAGTGACCAATCAGGACGGCGGGAACTGCCCTTTGTGTCTCGCCTGATTGGTCGTTAGCTAAGCCCCGCCTTTTTTACCGCGGCGGCCGCGGACACTTGAACAAGGCCCTTGTTTCGTTCAGCAGTCATGGCTCGTGAAATCAGCAAATGACCAAATACAAAATATGTGGCTATATACTTACCTCTCCCCGCGCCCCTGGACAGGTATCTGGCAGCAGCGGCGACGCCGAGAAGTACGAGCTGCTGCGCAAGTGCGCCAGCACGGCTCTCATGTCCAAGCTGATTCACCAGCAGAAGGAGTTCTTCTCCAAGATGGCCGTGGACGCGGTGCTGTCGCTGGACAGCCTGCTGCCTCTCAACATGATCGGCATCAAACAGGTCCAGGGAGGCGCGCTAGAGGTGAGCAGATGAGGAGAGAGAGAGGAGGAGAAGGTAGAGTAGTGGAGGTGCAGAGCGAATAGAGGGGCTTTTTATGAATGTTGCTAGAATGTTTGAAAGGACAGATTGACAGAGCCTGGACCCACGCTAAGCAGAGTTTGTTTCGGAGATCCCGACCCCTACCGTCCTATCGTGCAATTCCGGGTACCGGGAGAATTTAGATGCTGAAGTCAACCTTGCTCGTCAAAGCCGGACACGGCCTGTCCCACTCATTTACCTTCAACTGCTGCGGCTGCTCCCGCCAACCGCAGACCATCCCCGTCAGGAGTCTCAAATATCGAGCGTCGGAGCGACTCGAACCCGACTCTCACTACCGGGAGTCCAGCGCTCTACCAACTGAGCTACGGAACAGACTCGTGTTCTGACCCTCTGACCGTCCTTATCCCTCTCCAGGACTCGGAGCTGGTGGCCGGTGTGGCCTTCAAGAAGACGTTCTCGTACGCCGGGTTCGAGATGCAGCCCAAGTCCTACAAGAACCCCAAGATCGCCATGCTGCAGATTGAGCTGGAACTGAAGGCTGAGCGGGACAACGCCGAGGTCCGGCTCGACAATGTTCAGGTGAGGACTGAGAGCCAAGCTCTGCAACGTGCAGGCGATAGCTGGGAGGTAAGCTCGACGCATAGGCGGCAGAACGGGGAGGGCACCGGGGCACCGTGCCCCCCTTCGATTTTGACATTTTAACATTAGCCCTATTGGCGTTGCATGAAAATAATGGGACTAAAAGTCAACAGTGCCCCCCCCCCCCCCTTAATTGAAGGTGTTCCGCCGCTATTGGCTCGACGGCATTTAGGTAAGGGCGCCAGCGAAGGAGAAGTGGCAGATCAGATAGGTCAGGGAATCATCGTCTGGTGGGAGTTATGTGCCTGAATAATGCGTGCCACACCCTAGTTAAACTGTGGTGAAGTGCTTCATTGTACAGCTGACAGGGTCAGACTATATATTTGTAGAACATGGTGATGTGTTGGGCGCGGCTGACGTTGCTTTAGACTTCACTGTGTCAGTATTCACTCTGAAGCTGTGTCTTATTACGTCCAACTGTCCTTTCACCTTTCTTTGACGAACATCTCGTGAGTTATATTTTTTGGATGCTTCTGACTTTGTGTGGGACTAATTCTGACTGTCGTATTCTACCACTCAGCGTTTCGTGCGCTGTACCTGACTGATGTGCCATTGCTCTCCCCTTCAGGAGTACCAGCGAGTGGTGGACGCCGAGTGGGACATCCTCTACGACAAACTGGAGCGGATCCACAAGTCCGGCGCCAAGGTGGGACACAGCGCAAAGCCCTGTATGGAGGGCTTCTCCCTCGACGGGGGGCGGGGGGGGGGGGAGGGTGCCAGAGCGTCAGGGAGGGACGCGCCTTGGATGGGTTGACGACTGCGGGAATTTTTACTTCCTGTATGTACACAGTTGCAGTCGTCTGATTTATAGTTTAACTTTATTGGAGAGTTAGCTTCGCATTTTTAGCCGCTGCGCTGATTTTTTTTTTTTTGTAGCATTTTTGAGCTTTTACCTTTTCTTTTATTTACGTTTCTATTCTTTGACGATATATTAGATTTTTAACTGCCCCATGGCATACTACCTCCGTCGGTATTTGAAGCTCGTTCAACCCTGTACCACCAGTGCCCCGTCCCCCCGCCCCCCCCCCCCCCACTCCTCTCTCAGGTGGTGCTGCCGAGTAAACTCTCACCCCCCCCCCCGCCCTCTTCTCAGGTGGTGCTGTCCCGTCTGCCGATCGGCGACGTGGCCACCCAGTATTTCGCCGACCGAGACATGTTCTGCGCCGGCCGGGTACCCGAGGACGACCTGAAGCGCACCATGAAGGCCTGCGGCGGCAGCATTGTCACCACGGCGCACGACCTCGGAGATGGCGTGCTCGGCCAGTGTGGCAGCTTCGAGGAGCGCCAGGTCGGCGGCGAGAGGTTAGTAGGGAGTGGAGGAGGGGAGAGAAGAGGATAGAGGGGAGGAGGAAGAGGTGGGCTGATGATAGTGGAAGGCAGAGACGGCGGTGACTATTTTGCAGGGAGGAGAGATGGAGATAGGGAAGCAGAGAGGGTGGCTGGGGAGGATAGAGGGCTATGATGTGTTGACAATGTTGGACGAGAAGAAATAGAAAAGTGGGACAGAATGTCCTTTTCATATTGTGATTTACATTCAAGTGCAACTCTAATGTTTGGATGAAACGATGCTTCTTTTCCCATCTGTTGGTACATTTTTTCCGCAACATTTTCTTTCGAGCCTGTTGAGTGTTGTACCTAATTCTGTCCATCCGTGCCCTGTTTAATCTTCCATTCCCTCCCCATCAGGTATAAGTTCTTCAGCGAGTGTCCTCTGGCCAAGACGTGCTCTGTCTAACCCTCCCCCCCCCCCCCATCAGGTATAACTTCTTCAGCGAGTGCCCTCTGGCCAAGACGTGCTTTGTCTAACGCTCCCCCGTCCCTCCACCAGGTATAACTTCTTCAGCGAGTGCCCTCTGGCCAAGACGTGCACGCTGATCCTCCGCGGTGGCTCGGAGCAGTTCCTAGAGGAGACGGAACGGTCCCTGCACGACGCCATCATGATCGTGCGGCGCGCCATCAAAAACGACAGCGTTGTGGCCGGTGAGAGGGGCAATCGCTCGGCAGGACAGTCGGTGGGAAGGTTGCAGCTAGGAAACATGGCGAACTACGAACTGCACTGTCCTATAGCGAATAAAGTTAGGTGAATGTGTGGTGGTGCAACATCTTCACCTGATCAAACTATCAGGAGAGCTTCAGGATAATGGTTACGAATGTTGCGGGGTCACATATGTGAAATAATTGTGTTGTATTGCCATTTTCCTCTTTTATTTCGTTTGACCGTTCGGCGACTGGCTTCCCCCACATTTTGACACTTCTTTGCCGTTGTGTCTTTCAGTCATGTTTTAGCCAGTGATACCATGACTAGTGCCTCGACCCTCATCCAGTCCCTCTGCCCCTTCTGACCACTTCCCTCTCACCCCCGTCAGGCGGCGGTGCGATCGAGATGGAGCTGTCGCGCTATCTACGCCAGCACGCCCGCACCGTGGCCGGCAAGGAGCAGCTACTGATGGACTGTCTGGCGCGGGCGCTGGAGATCATCCCTCGCCAGCTCTGTGATAACGCTGGCTTCGACTCCACGAACATTCTGAACAAGCTGCGGCACACGCACGCACAGGGTGAGGCCTGAGGCGGCGGGCGGACGTTCAGGGGAGGTTTGGAGGGCGGAGAGCGGACGGTCTATGATATGCCTGGTGTTTGAGAACAGTTCAAAGACCAAGCTAAGTCAATAGATTGTGTCACCAATGCGTGTTTTCCCGAAGATAACATGACTGCATTTCACTTACGCTTTCTTATGTGTTGCGAACATGCTATCGGTAAAAGCACACTCCGTGAAAAACACTCCATTGGTATTCATCACAGTCATTAGCAGTCACATTGGCGCCGTTTCGTTAGTGCATACAGCTGCACCGCTCCAAGACGTTTCAATCTAGCCTTCCGCCAGCTACAGTCAAGGCAGTAACCGGCACACCTCGCCACCCCATTTGTCGTACCCTTCCCCTCCCTTCTATCCGTTCGCTGTCTTCTGTTCGCTCTCCGCTCGTCTTCTGTTCGCTATCCGCTCACTGACCGTCCCCTCCCCTCCACAGAGTCTGGTCTCTGGTTCGGCGTCGACATTCAGAACGAGGACGTGGCTGATAACCTGGCCGCCTGCGTCTGGGAGCCGGCCATTGTGCGCGTCAACGCTCTCACCGCCGCCAGCGAGGCTGCCTGCCTGGTACTCTCAGTCGACGAAACGATCAAGAACCCGCGCTCGGGCGGCGAGGGCGGCCCGCCGGCCGGCCGCGGCCGCGGCAGGCCCATGTAGGCAACAGGGAGCCGCCAAAGGTGGGCCTGAGGTGCTGGGAGGGCCACGTGCCGCGTGGACTGGCGCCACGTGTGAGGAGCCACGTGACAGCACCCGGCAGGGATCGTGGTACGTGGTCCGCACGTCCAATCACGTGGCGGCAGTGTCCCGTGGCCTTAGGTGGCGATCACACGGGGCGCGCCACGTGCCTCCACGTGCGGACGTGATCACGTGGCGTTCATGACTCACTCATCCGTCGACCCCGCGCGGCGTGACCTTCGTTCTGTTTCACTGACCCGTTTGATTTGCTGGTCGCTGGTGCGTCGACTCGGTCGCACACGTGCTGTTCAATTGTCCCTTGATTAATACACTAGGACTAATGCGCAATCACGTTGGTTTGTCAGGACTGTAAGGTCAGAACGGTTATACTGCCGAGTTGAATGCCGAGCTGGCGGGTATCAAGAAATGTGACTGGGTGAGCTAAGGGACATTGCGCAGTGGTTGTGTGACTTGAGCGTATGGGCATTTTCCTTGTTTGATTGTCGCATCAGATAGACAACTTCAAAAAATCCTTCCCATTTATTTGGCGATCGGGTTACAGCACTTGAATTACAATTACACTACCTAATGCGACATATTGTAGGCAATGGAAGGCACACAGTTTGTCATTTGATATCGCTTTACAATCCGTCCCTAGCAACTCAAACTTCCCGAATATTCAGGGACTTGGGACAGTTCTTTGAAAAGACCGTTGTATATTATCTCAAGTCGCATTAAAATAATCAAACAATCAAGGTTTCTTGTGTATCTCCCTGACGCGAGACGCTGTCCACTGCTTTTTATTACGTAACACAAGCGGTTCTTCTAAGCTAGGCGCTCCCGCTCATGCCCAAACCAAATAAACCGTCAAAATGTCTGACATATCCGTAAGATTTCGGGCTAGAACACCCGAGAGATATACCGCTGATGCGAAATACATGCAGGCAATGTTTCTAAACACCATGCACTACATTAATCGGTGGAATACTGCCGGGCTTATAAATTTAGCCACGCTGTGCTCGCTGCTCTAACCTACAAAATGCTTCCGTTAGTCATGCAATGCGCTAACATCAGTCGAATTTCATCAGATAAAACAAGCACCTTCGCACACATCATTTCCGTTAAGGCAGGCCTGTCAGGAGCACTTCAAAAACATTACTAACTAATCTCAAGTAAAACGCGCTTCATAACCTCCATTAATTGCTCTCGTTCTCCCGTCGTTGTCTCGCTCTTGTACCTGTCCTTAATACAACACACGGGCGACCTAAGACGCTCCTCCGCTTGAGCGACCGTCTTGGTACACGTTTAGTCACCTCCAGTCTGTCGAGCTTCAGTACCTCGCTAATCGTAATGCCATCTTCATGTATGACGACAATCGGTTATCTCTGTCCGATCCTGTGATATGTATTCATTCTTGTCTGTTTGTCTGTCTGTCAGTCGGTCCTATCCCTTGGTCCCATGTTTTTATCCATGTTTCCATCCAAATCCTGTCTACAATCGGCGGATAATTCTCGTCGTTTGTTTACCGTCCAACATGTCCCACCCCACACTTCTTGTGTCCCTGGTCCAGTCCTGGTCCCTCAGTTCGACCTGCGTCCCGCCTGTCACTGTCAGGTCCTCTGCGCTGCCTCCACGTCGTCCCCCGGCGCGGCCGATGGCTCCTGCACCGCTCCCAGCCGCAGCAGGTCGAAGTTATTGAAGCCAGCGTTGGCCGTGTTGGCGCGGCTCTCCACGGCCGCGTCACCGGCGCCTGGGGGGACATAGAGGTCACGGGAGGCGTCACGGCAGGAGTCACGGTCGTGACGGTTGTTAGTCAAACCGTCACGGTGCCACTAGTGACGGTGGTGAAGCGGAAATTGGAACAACAGTCACGGGGGTTGAAACGATTTAATTGTCAAGTGATGTAAGGGATGCCGCCCAGCGGTGGTTTACCGTATATTCAGAGTGTTGACAGAGTTACAATGAGTGGAACAGTAGGGGAGGACGTTTTGTCATCGTGATTGCTACAGATGCTGATTCACAGACTGATAAAAACAAAGCGGCATCCAATGATGCATGCTCTGAACTTCGAGTTGGAGTGCCTTGTCTCATTGAAACGATCGTTTGCTCTTAGTTATCAGCACTCTCTTATTCAGCATAAAGTTCGATTTTAGGTTCGCTGGATGATTGAGAAAGCATCACAATTACCCAAACAGGCACGCCCATAAAAATCCGTGTTCTGTTAGTCAACATGCTGTCACGTCTGTCTTCCTCGAAGTCTGGAGAGTCGGTAGGGTGAGCGACATTTGTTTACCGTGACGCCAGTAATCCGTTACACGGATCTCGTATCGAGTAACCAAGTCATCGCCCAGACGGATGCCTAGATAGTCCCTGTCCGCTCGTATCCAACAGTGCTGGTGGACTGTTGGCTGCCATCCTATTCGCTTCAGTGCCACCTTCACGTATCGGTACGGACCGGTACATACAGTCGATTGTTAGTGTTTAGAGCGGTATTTTCCGCTACAGGCACTAGCCGCTGTATCGGCATTGTCCTCTGACACACTGTACAAACGGAGGGACCTTGAACGGCGGAGGCTGGTGGGGGGGGGGGGGGTGACGGCGACGTTACGGTGAAGGTAACGTTCACGCCGATGGGCTTAGGAAGAGTTGAACAAGAGGCTGAATAAGGTATTGGTGATCGGAATTTAGACAGCCGTCATGTAGTCGGTTTAGCTGGTCTGACTGATTTTGTTGGAGTTGATGCACCGTAATAACCGCAGATGTAACAAAAGTCATTTGATCCATATGAAACGTGCCTATTTACGGACACTCGGCGCAGAAAATGTGTCCTGTCCTTTTCTCTGAAATTTGACCACACACGTTCGCGTATACTGTCCCTGAGCGTTCCTTACCCCGGCACCCAGATATCTTACCATTTCCTGTGTTTTCTCACCGTTTTCGTTCTCGGCCCGGATATCTCGCCGTTTCCCGTGTCTGTTCTCACCGTTTGCGGTCTCGGCCTGAATCTTCCTGAACTGGTCGAGCTCAGCAGCACTGCACAGCGGCGTATCCACCTGATACGTGCTATTGAATCGGCTGTAGTCCACCTCGTACTTGCCCGTGTCACGCTTGAAGTCAATGATAGGCTCGAACCTGTGGTACAACGGGGGCACGTGCGAGAGGGGTGAGTACGAGTAGGTGTGTGGGGCGGGGCGGAGGAGGATGAAGTTCGTGACTAGTGCAGCGTAACCAGAGTGGATGCGTACGAATGAGACCGAGCTGGTAACGAGAAGCGAGAGTTGCAGGTATGCAGTAGCGATCCCAGAGCATGCAGTGACACAAAACAGTTCGGATTCCCTCAGCGCGTCCTTCTCCACGACCGATGCCCTGGCCGGTGCGTGGAGAGGTGCAAATAACATCAAGCGAGACGCACCACGGTGGGAAGTGGCGTGAGCGGGGGCAAAGTCGTTTGGAGGGCACTCATGCCTCGTGAGAGCTCCCCAAACGGCCTTGCTCGTGAGTCACGATCTCCTTTACCTCAATTGTGGCCTCCTTGAGCAGTGTGCACCTACTATGTGTCTGTCAGTTATGCATGGTGCAAGTAAATTAATAATATAAAAATGTCGACATCAAGCGAAGATCATGCTCCCCGCATTTACCACTACCAAGCTAAAACCCGCACTGCCCGTTCCGTGCAGTGATGAAAGCTCCGCGGCGCGGTGATTGCGCTATTTCGTAATCGACGTGCAGAAAACCTCTCCTCCGCGGAGGTGCCGGACTGATACGGCGGCGGGAGGCGCCGGGGCTGTCTCCGCGGGTGCATCTAACAAACAAGGCCGCTCCTATCTGAGTCTCACTGCCACCCGCGGCCGCCTATCAGTGCTGTACAAACACGCCGATTGGAGGGCGACAGACACTTGTCGGAAACGGTCGATAGCGGGCCGACCAATTGCGCTCCAATTGTCCCCTCTGAGCGGCCCACTGTAGGCCGGCAGCCTGAAAAAGCGCTAGAAATTCCCCCAAACTGACTGTTCGCAATATGAACAAAATAGGTATCATTTAATCCCAAATTGATCGAAGAATACGATTCCGATGCTAGTTTTGCCCTAAGGTCAAAATTGAGGTCGTCAGTTGTCACCAAACACAAGACAATTTAGACTCTTTATAGGCCACCACATTTACCGATTTTAATGATGAACTTTAGTGGTAATTTATTAGTTGACCAATCGTCGTTTTGAACGAAATTTCCTGTCAGACTAGTTCAGGGCACTGTTGTTCACTGTGCCAACATCATTCTGACATATTGCATCGCTTTTCTGCAAGATAAGCTAGCTGTTTGCAAGCAGCTGCAAGACGTAATTTAAAATCATATCCAATTTTTTAATTAGACTTTTATAAAAACGTTATTTCGAGCGGCTAAAAATGAACATTTCATACTAGCCTCTGATTACTCATCTTTTGTTCCATATAGGTGCTTTGCTGCTTTTCCCTGCTACTTTTCGAGATATGCGCCAGTAAACCACATGATGTAGGGGCAATTGTCACCTCGCCGCTCTACTGAAGGCCCGGCGCTCTTTAAAACGCTGAAAGTTGTGAAAAACAAACGCTTATAATCTAAATGAAATATATGTCCCTGAGCTCAGAATTGATCAACGCACACAATGCTGCCAACATTTCTGGGCCAAACTCAAAAATTTAGTCATTATTAACCCCTAAACACAAGTCAGTGATAATCAACAACAACTTGCTCTTTAGTTAGACTTTTTGAGAAATGTTATTTCGAGCCGTTAAAAATGGTCATGCCATACAAACCACCAATCATCTTTCTGTCATGCCCTACTCGCAATTTTTGCTAATGCCTGCTACTCTTCAAGGTCACGTGACCTCACCATTAAAAGTGAATGGGGAAATAAGGAAACTGTTGTTTTTGCGCATGGAATGATTTCAAACTATCTCAAGCACACGGAATCGTGATTTCGTGCACTCCTTGCAAGATCCGATGCTTTACTTTTGCATTTTTGACCTTCCGTGACGTCATTTATGTCGTCACACCGGTCATAGGAGTTTCTCGTCAATAACTCATGATCAAATTGAGCCAGCGACTCGGGAAAGCCACCAATGGACTCGGGAAGACCTCCCGAATCGAATGATATGCGATACGACCTCCTTCGATTAAGTTCGTGGCCTGATGGGCTCTGAACTGACCTTGACTCGAGGTCAATACCTTAAGTTGACCTCACCCGAACAAAAAGTATACCATTCGACGCGCCTGAGCCAGGCGAACACGATGGTGCCAAAATCGCTGCTCTGCGGCCATTTTTTGCGAAATTATTTGCCAAAAACCAAACCCTACCTTGGGCTTTTTGACTTCACCTCAGAGGTTACCGGTTGACCTGGGACCTTAACCCTCGCACGACCAGGCCATTTCTCATAACACGAACGACCAGGGGGGGGGGGGTTGTTACGACCCCCCCCCTGGCGTTTCGAAACGGAAGGTCGTAGAGCTTAGCGGAAAAGACCAACGGATTGCTCTCAACGAGATCTCGCGATTGGTGGTATATTTTTTGGTCCTAGGTCAACATTTGACCTACTTTTGACCGGTCAAATGTCAAATTTTCGGAAAATAGACTTTTTCAAATTTTTCGTGGCGATTGCGGCAAAACGGTGGGAGATATCGACTTGAAACCTTCACTATCGTGTTCCTTGATCAATTCTCTATCGTTTGGTATGTATTTCGTTTCCCTAGCTCTAAAAATGGCGCGTTGGGAGCGCCGGAAGTCGGCAAGGTCACAGTCGGCGGCAGAAATTCGAAAAATCAAAATTTAAATTTTTGAAATCTGATTGTATTTTTGGATTTGGGATGTCCATTTGCTCCTTATAGAAGCTAATATTGCTGCATATTCCCATTGAGGTGACAAGAATTAGCAAAATAGTGGTTCGGGCGCTTTTCAAAAATAGTACCGGACGCTGTTCCTCTTGTGACGTCATAGCTCCGTGACCTGACCTGACCCGGTCAAGTTTCTTATACCATATGATAGCCAATACTTGCCCCAACATGCATGGGAAGTTTCATCACGATCCATCAACCGATCTCCGTACCACCGACAGGAAACCTCGGGCGTTGGCACTCAGTTTGTGAAAATCCGGCCGGAGGCTGTTCCCTTTGTGACGTCATAACTCCGTGACCTGACATGACCCGGTCAAATTTTTTTTTTATCAAAAGATGCGCAAGGTTTGCCCCATAAGGTACCCAAAATTTGGCGGCGCTGCGCGCCGCCGTTTTTGCACTATTTCCGAAAAACCTCAGGGGGGGGTTGATACAACCCCCCCCCCCCCCTAGGCGTTCTAGGGTTAAAATTGGGTATCAATCGTTCCGCCTTGAAACGGCGCACACGCTTGTTTTTTCCGCGAGGCTCTAGCTCCATTAGGGGCGAAACGGCAAAAAGGGGTCGTACCAACCCTCCCCCCTCGGCCGGCCGAGGGGGTGGGGGGTCCGACAATAGGTCCGGCGAGGGTTAAGCAGCCCCACTTCGTTTTTAGCATGTTTGCTTGTCACTGAGATCAACAACTCAATCACAAATAATTTCTAGCACTTTTCCGGGCCCCCGGCCCAGTGTGCGCGGCCGCGCCGGGGCTGGGCCGTCCCACGATGACTGGTGTACCTAGACTCTTAGATGTCTGTCGTGGCCACGCAGCTGATTAGCGAGACATGGGACTGAGCTGTTCAGGTTAGGTAACCACTGCATCGGCTGAAATGCCTAGTTATCGAAATATCTCCCCTCACCCACCTATGGCCCCAGAGGATCTCCTCACCCACCTATGGCCCCAGAGAATCTCCCCTCATCCACCTATGGCCCCAGAGGATCTCTCTTCACCCACCTATGGCCCCAGAGGATCTCCCTCACCCACCAATGGCCCCAGAGGATCTCCCTCACCCACCAATGGCCCCAGAGGATCTCCCTCATCCACCAATGGCCCCAGAGGATCTCCTCTCACCCACCTATGGTCCCAGAGGATCTCCCTTCACCCACCTATGGCCCCAGAGGATCTCCCTCACCCACCTATGGCCCCAGAGGATCTCCCTTCACCCACCTATGACCCCATAGGATCTCCCTTCACCCACCTATGGCCCCAGAGGATCTCCCTCACCCACCTATGGCCCCAGAGGATCTCCCTTCACCCACCTATGACCCCATAGGATCTCCCTTCACCCACCTATGGCCCCAGAGGATCTCCCTCACCCACCTATGGCCCCAGAGGATCTCCCTTCACCCACCTATGACCCCATAGGATCTCCCTTCACCCACCTATGGCCCCAGAGGATCTCATTCTCCCCTCACCCACCTATGGCCCCAGAGGATCTCCCTCACCCACCTATGGCCCCAGAGGATCTCCCTCACCCACCTATGGCCCCAAAGGATCTCTCCTCACCCACCTATGGCCCCAGAGGATCTCCCTTCACCCACCTACGGCCCCAGAGGATCTCCCTCACCCACCTATGGCCCCAGAGGATCTCGCTGGGGATGAAGCTGCTCCGTGCCTGTGTGGTCATCGCTGTCGACTCGGTGGTGCCCTCGAGGATGACGACGATCTCGAAGCGCTCCTTGTGGAGGAGGTCCTCGGCCGACATGTGGTAGAACGGGGACCGCTCGTCTATCGTGTGCACCACGTTCAGCGGCCAGATGAAGAAGATGCTGTCCTGGCCGTCATCAGGGCCTGCGGCAGAAAGGGGAGAGGTTGGGGGCCGGTTGCAAGGAGTCTTCGATTCACGAGCTTCTTATCCGTTCGAATTTATCTTATCCATCCTCTCCCCATTCATAGTATTTCCCCTTTCCATTCCCATATCAACCTCCCTCTCCCTCTCTCCTCTCTCTCCCTCTCTCCTCTCTCCTCTCTCTCTCTCTCTCTCTCTCTCTCTCTCTCTCTCTCTCTCTCTCTCTCTCTCTCTCTCTTCCTCTCTATCTTTCTCTCCCTCTCTCTCTTTCTCTCTTTCTTTGTTTCTTCCACTTCCTCACTCCCTCACTCCCTCCCCTCCTTCTCCTCTTCTTACCCAGGTTGAGCTCCACCATGTCGAACTGCAGTGTCTCGCCCTCACGTGTCACCCGTTTCCGGATAATCTGACCGCGCGCCGAGGCTCCGATCAGCGAAGACGTCCTCATGTTGCCCACCCTGAACATGAGGCAGAGCCTGCCGTCGCGCTGGCAGATCACCGCGTTACGCGAGAACAGCAGCGTCTGCGCGCACTTCTTGGGTCGGGCCAGCTTAGCGAACACTACGCTCACCATCAACGCCTGGATCATGAGACCGACGATGCTCTGGACACAGAGTAACGTAATCGCCTCCGGGCACTGTTCGGTGATGGCGCGCGTGCCGTAGCCGATCGTGTGCTGTGTCTCAATGCTGTACAGGAAGCTACCGGTGAAATCCTCGACGGAGTTGACGCAGGGCGTGAAGTCGGGGTTGGCCCTGTTCTGGGGCTCAAAGTCGCCGTGCGCCACCATGATAAGCCACCAGAGCACAGCGAAGAGCAGCCAGCTGAGGAGGAAGCTGAGGCTGAAGACGAGCAGCGTCCACCGCCACTTGATGTCCACCAGCGTGGTGACGATGTCGGCCAGGTAGCGCCGCCGCCGCTTCGACAGGTGGCCCTGCACCACGTTCAGGTCGCCGTTCTTGAACACCACCCGCTTTCGTAGTTTTCGGGTGCTCATCCGATTCCGTACCCTGCAGACGGGAGGGGAGGGAGGGGTCAGGGACGGCTAAAGGGAGAGTCGAGAGGGGCAGAGACGGCTGTAAATTGGTAAATGCGTGGCCTTACCAATATAACGACCGCCTTCAAATTGGAAACTTTAGATAAAGGGATTGGATGTAAGCATAAAAAGAAGTATATGTCACCGCTTGTGGTAAAGAAGTGTATTGGAGCATTTAACTTTACCATAAAATTGGGTAGGTTCTGGTCGCTGTGTCTCGCAACGGCCCACACGCTCTTTTTTCGCGAGGCCCTAGCTCCAGAGCGAAATGGCGAGGGGATCCGCCTTCCTTTGCTGAGGCGTATAAAGAAAACCGTTAGGTCCAGCGAGAGTTGATATTATTTTGCATGCGGTTTGGCGGTCAGGTAAAGAAACGGATTTAAGATCAATATCAATCTTACGGCAAGATGCCAGTGAAGTGGAACCGTTAGTCACAGATAATCTCACGTCAGTCAGTAAACGTACCGTATGCAAAAGCAATGATCTAGGATGACAAATCAAGAGATATATGATCAAGGACCCCAGATCAGGGTCGTCTAACGAATCTGATCCCAGATCATCCTCATAGATCCATGCGAGTGTCCATTGGTACCCTGCATGGAGTGGAAAGGTGGACATTGCCCAACACTTTCAGGTCTGAATTATAAGTGGAAAACAATGGGAACGTTTTTGGTTATATTACTTTAAGTTGGCTACACATGTGTTTCGATATACATCTTTTTCAAGCCATAAAGACAAAATAAAATGTAAATAATTCGCCTAAACATCAAAGTTGTCAAAATAGTTTGCGGCACAGATTAAAATTCAAATAGCAATGCTTCACACCCGTCGCTTCTCACTTTGCACTTCTAGTTTTTAGATCGTGCAAAATAAGTTCAGCCGTAAATCTGCTCAGTTTCACTTTTCCTGCATTACCATTTAGATTGTCAAAGATGTGAATATAAGCTGCTTCTACAGCCTGCCTATGCTTCTTTGTCAAACCCCTACACAACACAGACATATCATCCCAGTTGGGGAGATGTCCCGCCTCATCTACGTGTTGCACAAGGGCGTTGGACAGACGGTGGTACCTAAGGTCACTCTTATGCTCCTTTTGCCTGGTTTTAATGCCCCTGTATGTTTCACCGACGTAACATTTATCACATGCACCACAAGGAATTTTGTAAACGACACTATCCTCATTAGTAGAACCTTTCTTCTTCGTTTGCACAAGGTTTTTAATGGTCAGGCCCGCTGGGGATGAAATATTGATAGTTTCCCTTACAAAATTGTCCACAGCTTCTACTTCTTTTGATGCTGGGACTGAGAGATACCTCCTCTTGCTATTCCTTGTGGCGTTTGAAGCTGTAGCTCGTATTTTGACGGCCCTCTTCTCTAGCTGACATAAAAGACCTGGCGGGTACTTGAGTCCAATAAATACTTCTTTAATGTAGTTCAGCTCGTCCCTGATAAATTCTTCTGAGCAAATGCGAAGTGCTCGAAGATAAAATCCCAGCACGACTCCAGTTTTTGTTCGACTGCTGTGCGCCGAGTAGAAGTGTATCAGGTCATTCTTGTTGGTGGGCTTCCGGTACACTGAAAATACAGCCTTGTTGCCCCGATTATGGATGCACGCGTCCAGAAATGCAATAGTGCCATCTTCCTCCTCTTCGGAGGTAAATTGTATCTTCTGATGCACACTGTTCAGCTGCTGCAAAATACAATTTAAATCCACATCTTTGTTGATGATGACCAGAATGTCATCGACATACCGGAGCCAGGTCGTATCGGTACCAGCAATGCTCAAGAAGTGGTCCGCTTCTAATGTCTCCATGAAAAGGCAGGCGAGTACCGGGCTCAACGGCGAACCCATCGCCAGGCCATCAATCTGCTTGAATTATTTACATTTTATTTTGTCTTTATGGCTTGAAAAAGATGTATATCGAAACACATGTGTAGCCAACTTAAAGTAATATAACCAAAAACGTTCCCATTGTTTTCCACTTATAATTCAATTTGTCTATCTACTTTCAGGTCTGCACGTGCACAGCTGACAAAGACGAAGACAAAGCCACAAAGACAAAGTTTTGATAAAAGCCCAATGCTTATCACTCACCGGCACGCAACTCTGCAAATGAGCGGATAGCCTTGGGCAGAGATAACAGATATGGACCCTTGATCTTGGACAATTCCCTACGTGCTAAAAAAATAATTCATCCGTGTAACGCTGATAACTTATCAGTGATCTGCTGACCGTGGCAATAGAAGAGTAGGTTCTTTCCACCTTGAAATGCTTAGATTAACTATTTTTTACAAGTTTAACTAGTGACTAACTAGCTATTCGGTAAAGCTCATGTGAACACAATGAGCCGGGAGGCATTGTCGTAAATATTATATTTGTTTCGCTTTAATCATTCCAGCCACGTTCGACGCATACGCCTGATAGGTATGCAGGATCATGTATCCCTTGAAGCTGGCTTTAGCCGCTTTTCAGCAAAAAACAATGTCAGAGGAACCTATCCAATTACCGACCCCGTAAGGCAGTGAGGTAAAGCGTAGGTTAACACACGGCCAAAAGCTAAATGTTCGCACATATTGGACGGTAGACACTAGTGATGTCAATTACAGAAAATCTGAATACCGATACCAAACCAAATACCAACATAAGCCATGAAGAAATACCGATACCGAACCAATTTCATAACATGAGGAAAATACCGACTTTTTACCAATTTATCAGCCTCTTATACATTAGTTAGGGCTCATAATACCAACAAAATACCAAGTACATTAGGATTGAAATACCAAATACCAAGTTGGTATCGGTTTGGTATCGGTATACCAAATAGTTGGTATCCGATTGACATCTCTAGTAGACACTGTCTATGTAGGCCTGGCTGCGGGCTGTTCGGCTGGATATTTTACCTCAAAGTGTGGAAGTTCGCGTGGTTTAGCGGCATCCCCTTTGCGGCGGCGCCGGTTCCAGGAGGTGGGAGAACCGGTTCTGGACCGCTCCTCGATTGTTGTGGAGTGACGGCGTCGATTTGTGGCATCATTAATGGGGCCCAATACGGGGCCGCGATAGCCATGACAACCAATGAAAAGGGTCTGTTTCAGAATCCACGTACGTTTTACATATAATGACTCTGGAGGGAATGAGCTTTTAAGCTAAAAAATCGATTAATTAAAAATTGATTCAGAGTGAACTGCGCAGCTTCGACATATCCCGTTTGACCGTCTAAACGTCAGAATCGAATGGCGTACTTTGCACCTTCTAATGACACTTTATGAGGCTCTCATTACTGCCAATGTTCGTGCTTGTGACAGGGATGACATTGAATATTTGCTATCCAGAAGCTATTTCCTGCGATGAGTAAGCCTGTCAAAATGTGAGACTTGTGTGTTCCCCGACTTTTCGTTTCAGCAGTGATTTCGTGTAATATGCTCCCCAATGAATATCTTATTTGGGAGTTATACGGTATAATCTTCATGTTCCCGCGTGCAGCCGCCAGCTTGAATGTCTCCATAAGAAAAGGAACCCATTATTTATGACGGTAGCATATGTACGCCTCAATCCTGCAGCTCTTGTGTGGATCCCGGGATGACACATGTCGCAGCCCACCGTAAAAATAAACCGTTATGGAGCCTCGTTAGTCGTTACCTAATTCGTTACCAAAACCAGGTACACCACCGCTCCAGTCCTGGCAACGGGGTATGCGGTCGTTAGCACTATACAAAACTCATAGGCATGTCTCCCCGGTCATGGTCTCCAGCTCAGGGATATAATCGCGGCAATGTTTACAGATAAGATGCCGCTCCTCCCTCGTCTCAGCTCGAAGCGGTCATGTATCCCTCTTCTATGTAAAAATGTTTTCCTTTATGCCCCTGCCCGCCGCCTGGGGTATGATCGCGCTCGTGCTGTTTTCTAGTGTCCATCTCAGTGTCTGTCACCCGTACAGAGGCGTCGGGTCTGGCTCGTGTCCCGGCACTTCTCAAGAACAACATCACAGACACATGATGAGGGCTGTATAAACAGAGACGGATGGACCGGACGGGTCCCCAGCCGACACACGGACCCAGCTGTGTGTGGAGTTATCAGCCGGGCGGTGTTCCGGAGGGGTAGAGTTAGGTACCGTCCGGGCGTGTTCCAGTGAGGATTGAGTTACCATTCCAGGACTATATGAGTGTGCTAGGGTTTCACGAATCATGCTGTGGTCACACAGTGTGAGTCTGTGCCTGTGGGTATCAATGACACAATTCTGAAGAAATGATGCGTTTCGGGAGCAGTGAAATGAATCGATGGTTACCGGGTTTATCGGTCCTGCATACAGAGGTGAAGATGAACTCATCCTTCGGCTTTTTGCCTCCAATTGAGGTAGAGCTTCTCGGGGGAAAATGGGCGCGTGTGCTTTTACGAGACGATGCGATTAACGTCTACACAATTTTAACCCGCGAGTTGCTGGGGGGGGGGGCGTTAAACGCCCCCACTTTTTTCGCCGGGCTATAGCATAAAAACGGCGCGCCGCAGGCGCGCCAAATTTTGGGTACCTGTAGGGAATTGATTGAAGTTTATTGTGGCAAAGTTTCAAAAAAATCGGTCGGAAAATTTTTGAGATATCGAGGTTTTAGTGACGTCATGATTTCTGAGTTTTCGACCAAAAACGGCATATGTTCAAAAAATCATATAAAATCACAGAATAGACATATAGACATGCCGTAAACGCCATTAGACTGCCAATACCATGGATAATCAAATGGCTATCTTCGATTATTGATTATAGTTCCGCATTTTCCAAAATCTTGAACTGAATCTTGACAATTTCTCGTGACTACTTCACGACCATGATACATGAATTTCTTAAATTGAACTTTTTTAGCCAAACACGTACACATTTGATAAAATGAATGTCACCATCGTGTTCTACGCCCCAAATTACCCATAAAACATGTGTCACAGGCTGCGAATATCAGTTTTTATTTTCGGGGATATGTGCCTGCCCGGTTGACCTGACCTTGACCCTGACCTATGCTTGACTGACCCCTGCATGGAGCTGACACTCTTGTAGGCCTTATATGATGGATTGTGCACCGTTTTGACAGAGTTTATGACGAGAGGCGCCCATTGCGAAGTCCTGAAGTCCATGCTACTGAAAGCCCGATTTCAGGTGTTTGACCTGACCTTGACCTGACCTGTGACCTCAAAATTCAACTTAAAAGTACTCATCATCTGAAGCGTCTCGTCGCGTTCTTTCGTTTGCCGCCTCGTGCGTTTCGCTGCGCCTATTGGTTCTCGAGTTATCGGCTGGGGGCGTTTAACGCCCCCCCCCCCCCCCAGCAAACGGTGGGTGGCGAAATGCCCCAGCAACTGCCGGGTTAAATGGGCCATCCCATCTCCAAGCAGTTACTGAAACAGCTTAAAGGTGTCCCTTCCCTACGTTTAGGAACATCCTTGATTGCTGAGTTATCCTAACACTCCTTAAAATGATGACACTTATCTTCCATTCTTCTACGCTCGTCTCTTACCAGTTATCTAGCCCGTTCAGCTTATGGTGATCTGTTCCTGACCTAACCTGCCCTCTGACCTGTACTGATCTGTTATTACAGAGCTCCCATCATACAGTGACCCATAACTGACCTGACCTCAGACCTCCCCTGTCTGACCTGTACTGAGCTGTTATCAAGCGCATATGGCGACCTGACATGATCTGCCATCTAACCTGCACTGACCTTTCTTAGCCTCCTTGATCTGTACTGACCTGTTATCCAGCGCGCAGCGTGTGCTGATAGGTGACCCCTTCCCTGACCTGTACTGACCTGTTATCCAGCGCGCCCAGCGGTACTGTTAGGTGACCCCTTCCCTGACCTGAGTACTGACCTGTTATCCAGCGCGCCCAGCGTGTGCTGATAAGTGACCCCTCCCCAACCTCCTCTGATCTGTACTGACCTGTTATCCAGGGCGCCCAGCGTGTGCTGATAGGTGACCCCTCCTCTGACCTGAGTACTGACCTGTTATCCAGCGCGCCCAGCGTGTGTTGATACGTGACCCCGTTGACGGCCGAGGCCAGTGTCAAGCCGCCGAAGGGCACGTGTTTGACGTCTCCGGGGAGTCCGGCCGGCTCCCAGGTCTCCGGCTCCGGCTCCGGGCCCGGCGAGTGCAGCAGCTGGCGGTCCGGACGGTCACTCTCCTCCGGGTCAGGTCGCAGCACGGACCCAGGCATGGGCGCGCCGCTGGCAGGGTCCAGAGCCGCCGGCATGGTTGACGGGGTACAGCGCGAGCGGCGGGGAGGGGGCTGGGGGTCACTGACAGGTCAGCGAGCGGAGGTCAAGGTCACTGACTACCACTGCTGGGGAAGACAGCTGAGAGCTTCACAAGATAGTCACTACGATCTCCGCTTATCGGGTAATTACCAAACTTCCACGGGCTGGTTTAGTTTGGATTTGTTACCAGCTTATTGTGAACGAGCCTCTGCTCAGATCCCTGCCAGTCTGGTGCTAGTGGAAACGTCTCTTCAACCTTCGCTCACCGGTTTCACAGTTCGCGTTTCAGCCGTTTATCCGATTCCAGCGAGGAAAACTTTCACCGATTTACAAATCAGTTGTGCGGGTCGCCACCAGATCGGACCGATCTCAGCGGTTCCCGATGTCCCTCAGCTCCCCTCACTCTGCACAGTTGCAGCCCCCAATGCCACTCTTTCCGTTTGACGTGCCACACACAATGCCTTCTGACGTAACGTCACTCCGTTTGCTGACGTGGCGTCACTCCTCGGGCCACTGACGCCACGCCTACATCACTCCACCATAGACACTCAAAGCCGCAGCGATTCCCCCGCACGTAACCTCACCGGATTCAACCAGAACTAACGCCACAGCCTCACTGAATCACTCACGGAAGAGGACACACGAGAAGTCACTACCACGTCCTGTACCGACGGCACTAGAGGTCACGACGCCAGGCAGCGACAAAACGTTGCACGGTGTCTGGCTGATCAGTAAATCACACCTCTCTGCCACGTTCACAGCCGCCCGCCGCAGCAGCCAGCGCAGCAGCGCAACGTAACTCCCCCCCGCTCCGCGCCCGGGTCGCTGACTGTCGGCAGGGCTCGAGCGGACAGCTGCGAGCAGCGAGCGCCCGCAGCGCCGGGCAGGTGACGTCACGGGCCGGATGGTGACGTCACCGCGCCGGTCACCATGGCACGTGCGTGCTGCATTGGTCAGATCGGTCACAGCAGACCAACGCGCGGCGGCGCGGAGCAGCGCGGCGGGCCGGAGAGGTGTTTACGAATTCCACACCGGTCCCTGTGTGTCAAGGTCACTCTTACCCGTATCCGTTGTATGGGCTGAGCCTGAGTGAAAGGTGAGCGGTGGGTCTGACTTGAACACATTTTTGGGAGGCTGTGTGGACGAGGTATTCGGTCGTTAGAGTAACCGGCTGGCATTGATGACGTTCTTAGTTCTTGCGTTCAGTGTTACGTTCTTGCGTGGGAAGGTTACGTTCGTACGTGGGAATGCTATGTTCGTAAGTGCCTATTACTATCTTATTTATACCCCTGTGACGTCATCTTTGACCTGACCTGAAAATGATCTTTTAAAAATGATAGATCTTGTCCGTGTATACCCCATGCCGTTTACCGCTTGTCCCTATCTTGCTTCGTTCTCGAGATCTCACGAGGGGGGTGGGCGATCAACGGCCCCCCGTGTCGGGTTCAAGTTGGCGCCGACCCCGTCGGTGCGTGATTTATTATATATCGTTCCGGTCAATTCCGTATAACATACCTAGGCATAACACCGTATTCTTGCGAAACGTGTAAAAAGTACGTATCCGTTTTGATATTGTATTACTTTCGGCATGATGTCCTGCATTAGGTACATGCATCGGTAAATATAACAGCAACATAATATGCCAAAAGTCAATCGCAATGCACTTTTGATACTTTGTGGTTATGTGGTCTCATTGTTAACCCGCGCCCCACTGGGGTCTGTGTATAACACGCCCTACTGGGGGGGGGGGGGGCTATTCATAGCCCCCCTCCTAACTCCGAAACTACGGGGCCGATCGTCAAAATTCAAACGGCGTCTGATAGCCCCGGAAAAACTGTCGAGCGAAACCTAATTTCATTGACCTCGAGGTCATCGATGACATCACAGGTCAGGTCAAAGTAAAAATTATTAGCACTTTGGCTTGTTCACATTTTGGGCTCTGGCCGCCGTCTTACAAGTCAGATCAGGCTCATTTTTGGTTTCCACACTCGTGAACAGATGCTCTAGATACCTTGAGGGTACCAAACTTGTACTTTGATTTTCAGGTCAGGGTCAGGTCATCACAGGTCACGAAAATATTATATCATGCGTCGGTCACGTGACACATGTTTTATGGTCCATTTAGGCCATAGATTTCGAATTTGATGTCGTCTGTGTCATTCAAGGTCATTTCGAGTCGAAATTAGCTTAGGTCAGGTCACTTTCAGGTCAAAAAAGGTAAAATTTTGAAGTTGAAATTTTTCAACAAAAAAGGTGTCTATTGGATGCAGTTTGAGCTCAGGAACACGATGGTGCCATTTATATTGGTGTACGATGCCAAATACGTACTGAAAAATTGATTTGAAAAATTAATAATTGTGAATTTTTTGCAATAATGCGTATTTGGCCATTTTTGAAGATATTTAGCTAACACTTGCTAGAGTTAGTCATAATCATGCGTTCTGTCACATATTTTCCGGTTTTTTCGAAAAGTCAAAAACTTTTTGAAAAAAATATAAAAATATAAATTTTGAATATTATTATATAAAATTTTCGAAATTTTCAAAATTTTGAAAATCCGAGATAGCAGTTTGATAGCGCGGTCAATTCTGAGTCCTTTCATGCAAAGAAATTGGATCTAGCTTAAAAACTGAGCTCTTGGGAGCGATTGCCGTGGTTCAATGTTTTGCGTCGAAATCGGACGAACATGACGTCACTCTGACGTCATTTCCGGCCGACCTATGGTAGCTACGAAGTGCAAATTTTAACACAAGGTGTCAAATTGATGCAGCCGAAGGTACTGAAAGTTTGGCGTCGATTCGTCAAGCGGTTTGGAAGTTATTGCAGAAAAACGGGAGGGGGCAGTGGCGGCGGAAGCGGGGGGGCAGCGGGGGCACGGCGCCCCCCCATCTTCCAGGGTGGGGGGGCAAACATATCTTTTTGCCCCCCCAAAATTGTTATCGACGAAGTACCACAATACTTCCATACTACCTACGTCAGGAACATATGCCAGTTTGGCTGAGTACCTTTTTATTAAGTTGATATAGCGAGTAACTTGGATTGATAATAGCCGTTTTCACGACGGGCTATCCGGCGAGCTAGTCCGTGACGGACTATTTCCACCAAACGCCCTCCACACATAATGCTCAGAAATCAAGCAGAGCTATCTACGAGCTACCGGTAACCGAAGTCTGGAAGAGTAGGACGGAACGCGAGTAACCCGGCACGGACGTCACGAAAGTGCGTCTGAGCGTGCCACAGGCCTTTCCCCGCGACTCTGCCAGACGCCAGCCGGCATAGGCGCGTGAGCCGGGGGGCAGCATGGGGGCAGCCTGCCCCCACAACTCTGGGGCCGTGGGGGTCTCTGCCCCCGCAAAGTTTCAAAGGGCCAGGAACCGTCGGGGCAGCTTGTCCTCCCCATATTAGCGGCCGAGGGCCTCAAAGAAAAGCTGAATGGAAGACAATACCTATTTAAGTAAAAAAATCCCCCTCTGTACGTACCTGACTTGACAGCTCATGTGTGGAAGCTTTAAACGTTTATTCCAGGTTACCAAAAAGGTAGTTTCTTGACTCAGATGAGACTAATTATCTCACTTATTTGCAAATGTTTTATTTTTTATTTTTGTTGTAAAGGCCAAGAGGTGAAAAATAAGTGGCCTAAAACCGGTGAGAAAACTAGATTTGGGGGTACCCTAGGTTCCGGGAAGGATCAGGTGTGCCCCCCCATCCCAAAATACCTTCCGCCGCCACTGGGAGGGGGGGGCTATAAATAGCCCCCCCAGTGGGGCGCGGGTTAATCACATACACTCTCAATCGTGTACTTATTAGTTATTTCGTTCTAAAACGCAATTCCGGTAATTCACTAGAAATCAGGAGACAAGAAAAATGTTATTGACAAATGATTGCCGGGTGATGCAATATACGTATAGACGTAAGACTACAGACGAAGAATATGTCAATACTGCGTATGCGTAGGTTCCACACTACCTATCTATTATCTGCATATGCAAAAAGATATGAGTGCTGCGACAATGGATTCCTTTATTAGACGATGGAAGACTTCAGACATCATTGTTACAAGCCATCATAAAAAACGTGGAAAATAGGCACCGTAAGGTGGGGCTATTTGAAACAGTGGGGCTATTTGAGACAGTATTTAAAATTGCTATAAAATAAAAACCACTTAAAATTAATGCTTAATTTTTTGCTCAGGCGATTTACTGCTCGATTCCTCACCTACTTGAGCAAAAATATCACACAAAAATCAAACGATCTTCATTTTATAGCGATTTTAAATACTGTCTCAAATAGCCCCACTGTCTCAAATAGCCCCACTTTACGGCATTTATTTTACCTCGAAGTGTGCACTTCGCTTCTACAGGCATGAAGTTACATAGCACCGTTCTAATATCGGCGTACCCTCTGACAAAACTCCCAACACTGCCCACTGGGTTGACATAAGTGGGTAATGGGTATGCATTGGACTCTTCTTTACGGTGCTGCGTTGAGCGGAGATAGAGGCAGTCGGCAGCAGTAGGGGTCTCTAGCCCCGAGATAAGCTGACTGGATTGTGGTGAGCTCTGAATGATGTAGGCAGTTAGGGGTAGTACGAGTATAGGTATTTCGATTAGTGCTGCGACATTTTGAGCGGGGATGATCGACATTTTGACCGATGAGGATGCAATTTTGGACTTGTTGTATTGCGGACGGAACCCTGTTTGATATAAAATCGTGTACCAATCGCTCTCGCAAACATAACCAAGATAGGACCAGTAGGTATGCACAAATGGCTGGTGAGATATGCTGCCATACAGATATACGCCAGCATACGCCATCTACGACTGCTGAAAGTACCGCTAGTATCCCTCCTCGCCGCACCGCAGGAGGTGGCGCTGCGGTCGCCTACACTTTATCACAGATGGCGCTCGTGTCGTTGAGCCGCGGCACTAGGTGGTTCCAGAGGGCGCAGGGGCCGACCCGCAGCGCGTGACCGGTGACCGGACCGTAGTGTGAGAGGACCATGTAGCGCTGGCCGACCGGCTCGTACAGAGGCCACTCGTGGCTGGTTGGGCTGCGCACACACTGCTCGCCAGAATAGTTGGGGTCCCTGAAACACGGGAGGAGGTCAAGGTCAGGTCAGGTCAGTCAATGGGTGGTTGAGAATTGAGAACTAAGAGAAGGTGGCTGGCTTGTACGGATGGCAACGAAAATAAATTGTGATGGGATGTTGCACTCATCACTTCGTCTACCTTGCATTCATTCATTCATTCATTCATTCATTCATTCATTCATTCATTCACTCATTCATTCATTCATTCATTCATTCACTCATTCATTCATTCATTCATTCATTCATCTGCCAGTCTTCACTTCAAACATGCCTTCCTGAAATATGGGTAGACATTGCTAGTAAGAAAGAAAAAACGAGGCCGAACCATTTTGTTTTGTAGACATCATATGATCAAATCATTTACACCGAACAGCAACGTGGGAAATGTACAGGGATATAGTGACCAATGGAGTGGACATACCCGGTCTTGGCGAAGTTGGTCCAGTACTGAATGATCCGCTTGGAGAGGATGACGTCCTCTCTGCTGAACTCCTCTGGCTTCCTGAGGGCGGCGCCGAAGAGGAAGAACACCTCGTCTGCGTGCAGCACGCCGCTCCAGCGGGGCCACATGGAGCCGGGCGCCCTCTGTCGCAGCTGGTACTGCCACACAGCGCCCCCTTTCCGCGCGTGCGCCGCCACAACGTCGTTGACACCGCAGGTGAACTGGCGATCTCCGGCCATCTTGTCCACGGCGTCCCGGATGGCGGCCGGCTGGTCGGGAGCGCCCCAAGGCGTGTAGAAATGTTCCACGGTCAGTAGCGCCGCCGGCGAGAGGTCTCCGTTCAGCACCTCTGTGTAACGCGTCAGATCCGAGCGATCGGGGGTGGGCACCGCGCTCAGGTTGGCGTACTCTGGAAGAGCGTACAACAGGAAGTAATTACCCTCCTCAGAGGTGGTGCCCGCCAGCAGGTCGGCAGGCTTGAAGCGTCCTGCGGCCAGCGCGGCGGCGGGATCCTCCGGTAGGAACTCCCCGTCCACCACCGGCGCAAACGGGAAGTCGGCGAACGCCGTGGTGAAGAACTCCGAGTTGACGAGCGTCTCGGGGTCGATCTCCCTCAGACAGGTCAGCGCCTGGTCATCTGAGGCTGCCGGACAGTCGACCTCATCAGCCAGCCGCAGCGCGCGCCGGCGGGCCTCGGAGGGCTCCTGCACCGCCCACGGGTTGGTGGCGGAGCCGGACTGGAGCACCGCGCGGCGGAACAGCGGCGCGGAGACGGGCGACAGCAGGTGCAGGCTGACACTGGCCGCGCCGGCCGAGTTTCCGAACAGCGTCACACGGTTCGGGTCTCCGCCGAACGCTGCAGCGTTCCTCTGCACCCAGCGCAGCGCGGCCACCTGATCCAGCAGGCCAACATTTCCCGGCGCGTCGCCGAGCCGCAGGAAGCCCAGGGAGCCGACACGATACTGCATAGCGACGACGACCACCCCTCCTGCGGCCACCAGCTCCGTGGGGTCGTAGACGTCCAGCGCCGCCGAGCCGCTGTAGAACCCGCCGCCGTAAATCCAGACGAGCACGGCCGCCGGACGTGCCGGCCGGTAGTGCGGCGCGTGCACGTTTAGATACAGGCAGTCCTCGCTCAGCGGGGTGTTGGCGTTCCACTGGGTGGCGCCAGCGAAATCGCCGAAAAACGTGTCCGTCACCTGAAAGCATGGGGCAGTTGGATAAGTACAAAGAACGGGAAGTAAATCATGCGCAATTATTTACACGTGAAATCGGTTTGATTGCGTTTTATCGATCGTCTATTGAAACGGTAAAATCATAGAAAGGCACAACCATCAGCACATGTGTAAAGGAAAAGTCCGGATGCGTTCTTTTCTAAAAGAATGCCAGATGCACCTTACGCTCCCCGCCGGGTCGCAGCGCAACCTCACCTGCCAGCAGGCGTTTGGCTGGCTCTTGGCCTCCCTGACGCCGTGCCACGGCTCCACGGGCTGCGGCGGCAGAAAGCGGAGGTCCCCCACTGGCGGGCTGGCGTACGGCACTCCTAGCCAGGCGTCCACCTGACCCCCAGAGGCCGCCTCCAGGGTCACCCCCTCCAGGTGACCCTCTTGGGTCACCGCTAGGGGACCACCACCGTTCGAAGCCTGTCCGTACACCGCCGCCGGACTGACGGGGCCGTGGGACGGCTCCGGGCTAATAGAGGTGTATGAGGAGGTGGGACTGGTGACGTCATAGGGAGAGACACTAGTGACGTCATAGGGAGAGGGGCCGTCGGGAGCCAGGTAGGAGAAGCTATCCGGCGCGGGTGCGTCAGCCTCCAGGGGAGGCAGGTACGAGTAGAGGCCGTCGGCAGCGGTCGGCACCGACGGCAGCTTGTCGGCGGAGCTGAGACGTGACGTCACTAGTGCCGAGCAGAGCAGCCAGAGACCTGGAGGGAAGGAACAGATAGTTAGGCATGGTCGGCATGCACAACATTTTAGAACTAATAAAAAAAGCAGACGCTCGCTCATCGGTGACTTCGCAAGCCCAAAGCCTCATCCAACAAAGCACTTGCCATGGCAATTTATTCGGGTATGATTTATGCAATTCTTATTTATTATCATACATTTCTCATCTTCCTAATCGATTACAAAAGGGCAGAAAGGAAAAAAGTAAGATAGGTATATGCGCTCTCAACCGTTTCGATCGCTCTGAAATCCGGTGTTCACTGAGCCGATATAGTGAGAGGACGAATCCTTAGAAGATAAAACGTTATGACGTGGCATACATGGACTGTATGTGAGCGATTTACCTAAGTGGATATGATGCAAAGGAACCGGTTACGGGGTGTGAGTGACAAAGAGCATTTGCATCGGCAATCGCCTAGCAAGTTATTTGTAATTCCAAACTATTTTTCTCAAAACTTTTCATGAGCTCTGGCGATATAGCTTCATACACGTAATACCTATATCGGCTTCAGCTTAACCCATTTATGCCCAGGAATATTGACCATCATGAAAATTGACGAAATCAAAATATGTCATGCTCCTACCAGGGCCTTGCATGGAATCGAAAATAATTTTTGCCTGCAGCAAAAGTTTTTCGAGAAAAACGTAAAAAACATGCGTTGCGAAATCGCAACGAAGGGCACACCGGGCGCCATCAGCGTTGCGAAAACGCAACGACGGGCACATCAGACGGACATAAAGTACACTGAACTGCCGTATATGCTAATATGTTTTGACAAAATGTCAATCAACTGTTGACAACTATTGCTTGAAAATGCTGAACCAACATCCGCCATGCTCTATAACCCGCCTAAGAGCCTAAGTGAGGGAGCATAACTTCATGATTCGCGAACGGGGAGATGGCAACACGGTCATTATCAACCATTTACGTTGTCCATTGCTGTTCATTTAAAGTTGTGGCCGACACGTATCCAGGGTGATGCTTTCTTTTTGGAAGCTAGACAGAGCCATTACTCCCACCTATCAGACCCCACACTGAATACAATTAAACGGAGGATTGGGAGTAAACCAGTGCCTCAGGTATGCGCGTATATCCGCAATCATTGTTAACCACCCTCCTAGGAGTTAAGTTAAATTCCATTGCAGGTTAGTCGTACCCACTCCCAGCAAAAAGAAAAAAGGACCGATCCGGCTCTAACAAATTACCCGCGTAAGGCGTAGCGCATCACAACAAATCGACTCCCAGTTTATCATGTTTACACCTAATCCAAAATTTCCATGGCCCCACTCTCAGCGACCTTCACGTGTAACCTCTTTCTCGAGACAATGCCAGGACAGAATGGTGATTCGACGTCAATCCGTCCTTTCCATCTTCAGGATAGTCGAATCCTCCTCCACGCCTCAACCCCCTGTTCCGGGCTGGACCGGCAACGTATATCGCAATCGGGCAGCTCACATAGGAGCGCGCCTGTAGCCGGGTGCAGTGAGTGCTTGGGAGGGGGGGGGGGGGGGGGAAGCGGGTGGGCGATGGATGGCCTGCCCACTGGCTGGGCTCAGTCTCCAGTCTACGATTAACCGTGTCCAGTCAGACATATGTCTCCCCTAATTCCAATAATCCTGCTAGCTCTAAAAATGGTCTGATTAGATAAAAAGCATATCAAAGTAAGAAAACAAGCGTATACTCCACATCAAGCTTTTTATGAATCTATGCTAGTTGTGAATCCTAAAAATCACTTTTCCCAGGTCCACCCTCATTTCCCCTGCCGAAAGGCTCAGCTACCCCCATGGAGGGGGCCTATCCCACTATTTGCCGACCCTCAGTTATCTTTTCTAACGTAAATAGTCAGCAGATTCTATCCAGAGAATGGCGATGCCTATCTGTCGCCTGATACCAGAATACATCCCCGTTACTCATTATATATGCACAATGTAGGTATGTACATAGTAGATCCAATTTCCAAAGGACCTTATTATCTCTCAGCTCCGTTAGCATCGCCGACCGTTTGATGCATGGATCCTTTCCCATACCATGCGATTTTCAGATGCATGGGAACACATTGCTTAGTGAACGAACAGCCCGAGGCCGATAATCTGCGAGAGAAAAAAGGAGTGTTTGTGGCTGTTTGAGCCAGCAAATATGAAATGTGTCGCAACATTTTACGTGCGAACGCACCTTGCACTAAACATACCTATACACATGGCATAGGCGGCGGAGCGGGGGGGGGGGGGGAGGGGGCACCGGGGCACCGTGCTCCCCTTGATTTTGCCATTTTAACATTATCCATATAGGCGTTGCATGGAAATGGAAAGAATGGGACCACAAGTCGGCAGTGCCCCCCCCCCCTTAATTGATGATGTTCCGCCGCTACAGCCTCAGGGCTACAAAATGAGAGAGAGAGGGAGAGAGAGAGAGAGAGAGAGAGAGAGAGAGAGGGAGAGAGAGAGAGAGAGAGAGAGAGAGAGAGAGAGAGAGGGAGAGAGGGAGGGAGAGAGTTGTGGAACGAGGAGGAGAGGGAGGAAGATGGGGGAGAGAAAGAGAGAACCCACAGCGTATCACGAGTGAAGTCTATTGTTGATATTCATACTTCCGCTACCCTGTCAATGTGCCCATCGTTGCGTTTTCGCAACACCGCTGTCTTTCCGATGTGCCCTTCGTTGCGTTCCCGCAACGCGACGTCATATTTGAAAATAGTCACAAACCCTTTTTGTAGCATTATTTCTTGACAAAATGCATATCTAAGCTATTGTAGGGACTCTGCAGAATATGTTTACACAATTTTCATTACGATTTTACTAAGCAATTAGCCTACGTATCTTGGTTTTCGTGACGTCATCACTCAGAAAACCTTCGACTTCCCTCTGGGAGCTCTAGGCAGTAACTTACCGGCCGCACAGACTTGTAACTGCGTAGCATCATGCGCACAACCATGCCACACACGCTGAAACTTATCTCATCGGTTAGTCTCTTTTACACACTTCTCAAGCTTCGATCACGTCGACGCTTGCTTGCGTTGCGAAAACGCAACGAAGGGCGTAAATGGGTTAAAAAAAAAACGGATAGGGATATTTGTTTCAACTAAGCATAACGCGTCGCATGAAAGCAATAAATAAACAAATTACTCATGACGTTAGGTTTCTGCGACTAGACGTCTTATGCAAATGTACCTTTGTCTATGTGCTGTGAACTCGGCTGTGACTTCTTTTGAATATCGATAAGCTCTCTGTGGAAATGTTGACCTCGCATCGGGGATAATATTGTGATGGGACTCTCAGAATGAGAGTCTTATCACAAGTCTCAGACCTCAGTGACCTTGAGGTTTAGCAATGTTTAAAAAAAAATGTCATATGTCAGCCAAGATCGGCATCGGCGTTCATACGCATATTATTGATTAGGGGAAGTTGGGGGAACGCCGAATACTTTTTTTCTGACGCCCGTAGCACGCAAGGTAGACAACATAAGCTATTCTTGTTGGCGTCATTCGAGAGGCCAGTCTTTTGCCTTTCAAACATACCAGGCGCATTTGATGAATTCGCATACCGTTAAGCGCACAAACTAAAAATATCAAAGAAGTGACTTTTTCGGCGTTGCCCCGGACTGCGGGGAAAGCCGAAAATGGGAGAAATGATCTACGGGAATGCCGAAATTGATGTTTTGCTATTTTATCTCAAATTTTATCCAGAATTCGTCAAAGCTGACACGCGTTTTAAGAGCTTGAGGACGCTTGGTGCACACTGGAAGTTATAATTGTGTGATATAATAAGAAAAGGCCAGGTAAATCATTCCTTATGGTAACAGGCCGTTGTGTCGGTTAAAAGTGTAATTTGTGTGACTAAAAATACGCGTTGCTATTCTACAGCGGTAAAGTTCACGTAGCATGCTTTAACGCGCCGCGTAATTGCACGTTTTCGGCATTACCCCAGCCACCCATACTTTCATTTGCAGGCCCATAACTTTTCAACGTGCTGTATAAATTTCAAATAGGCAGCACACTTATGCAAAGACGTGCTGAAGATTACTTGACCGAATTGGCCAGACAAACGGTAGCATAATGAGTAGGAAATGCAGCTTCGAAGACGCATGTAGTACAAAGGAAACGTACCTTGAAAATGCTCTTGGCGCCCTCACAGCCGAAGTATTCCGAATGACGACTGGTAACAAACATGCGATAATTGGTAGTCACTTAAGCTTCAGATCATCACTGACAGGTGGCATCCATGTCGTACGGTTTTCGAAATATCTCGAATTTCGGCTTTGCCCCAACCCCGGCATTGCCCCAACTTCCCCTACTCGTGTAATTCTAGTTCATTCGAAACTCCGAGTCATGCCTAGATTTACCTTTGAAAGTTGGCATGACTGATTACAACCAGCTACCTTCAGGCAATGCCCGATGTGCTTGGTCGCTGTAGCCGTCGTCTTCCCCTTCGCCCGCACTGTCGCCTGCACTGTCACCTGCACCGTCGCCCGCACTGTCGCCTATACTGTTGCTCTCCGTCGCCGCCTGTCTCTGGCTCTCCACAGGCGCTGTGACCCGCGCGGTGCCCAGACCTCGACTACCCGAAATCCGACAAAACATCGGGTGAAGTCGGGCGCGGACACGAACGCTCGCCGATCACGACCTTGGACAGAGGACAGTTGAGTGGCTGCTCACAATGGGATGACGGTGCGTTACGGAAGAGAGGAGACGGACCGGGAAATGGGTCCACGGAGTTCTCTTCACCTACACGTAGAGCTTTCACAAATCACGGGTCATGCATGGCTTGGTGTAGGTCGAACTATTATGCTATGACAAAACCTGAGCGTATAATGCTGCTCATCAATGATGAATACCGGTGCGTAATTTCGGTGAGGCAATGTTCGGTTACGGTACCGTAGGTCAGTACTGTGCCGTCACCCTTCGCCGAGCGGACCGATCGGCGATCAGAGCCGTTTCAGCCGGCGCATGGCGGCACGCACCCCTCACCGCGTCACCGATCATCCTTTTTTATGAAAATCCGCAGTCACTGATGGGCGACCATATTCGTGATACAGACTGTACCTTTGTACCACTATCGTCATAAACAGTTTGAATGGGCAGCGGCTCGGGAAGTAGTCAGCTAAATGCATATGTATCAGGCGGTGGTGAGAGTCTTCTTTTGACTCTTCACTACACAATGTAGGGGAGAGTTAGGTATTCGATAGGTAAATCTGAGTGTTATGCATTTTCGTTGGGAACGAGTGATCCATGGCACTCGTAATAATGATGCAGTGTTACATTTGGCCGGCATAACTGCCAAAAAATGCATAACTCAGGATATGGTTGTAAGAAAAGTCACTTTTCTGAGCTGCTGGTGAAAATATGAAAAAAAATGTTCAAACCTGAAATCAAAGTTGATGAAACTGAAGTTCGGCCACTTGTAGGTATCATACGTTCCCGACCTCTGATTGGCACAGGCCAAATAGCCCCATCCCGTCGACCAACTGCTACCCCGCTGGTTATGGAAGAAGCCAATCGGTCCCACACGGGCAGCGATCTCTGTATAGCATACACAGCTTTGGACACCCGTCAGTCATAGAGGGAGGTCACGACTCACGATCCGCTGTGACGACACCCGGCCTGTCGCGCCCTGCCACGGCCGTTACCCCATCAAACGGTTGGAGCGCGCAGCGTAACACCGCCACGCTGCCAGAGCGTAACTCCAGCCACGCTGCCAGCGTAACTCCGCCACGCTGCCCGCTTCCGATCCCGAGGGCAGGGGGCGGAAAATCATCCATCTGCCGCGACTGATGAGGGGGCTTCCTCACTCCGTGGGTCTGGTCACGTGCTGCCCATCATGGCCACAGAGAACGGATGACGTCATATGCTGGCGTCTGTCAGCTGCAAGCGGAAGTAGAGGGAAAACTAGCGATGTCAATCGGATACCAACTTTTTGGTATACCGATACCAAACCGATACCAACTTGGTATTTGGTATTTCAAGGCGAATGCATTTGATATTTTATTGGTATTATGAATTCTCACTAATGTAAAAGAGGTTGAGAGTTTGGTAAAAAGTTGGTATTTTCCTCATATTCCCAAGTCGGTTGGTTTCGGTATTTTTTTCATGGATATTGTCGGCATTTGGTTTGGTATTGGTATCACGATTTTCCGTAATTGACATCACTAGTGAAAACGCACAGAGGTTTGACGAGTCTGGAGCCTGCACCGGTAGAGACCTTGATCGCCTATTTTTTTTTTTTGCCACCAGCATTTTGAAACCGTCTACAATGGTGCATACTAGAAGGAAACGTTCCAGACCTTCATGCGCCTAACAAATGCGTTTTTCCTTTTTAGATATTCACGAAAACATAAGACAAGGGATCCGCCCTCCCCTCTCTACCACTAACCCGCGCCCTACTGGGGGATTGACACCCCTCCCTGTGGTTTTTCACAAATATTTATAAAAAAGACACCTTAGGTATAATACATCGATTCTACACATGTTTTGAAAATTTCAGACCAAGGTCATTCAAGGCCAGGTCACTAGGTCACTTCAAGTGACCTCACCTCATAAAACGTTTCAATGTCTGCCATACCTACACCGATTGACCGCTGATTGCTTTGAAACTTTCAGCGATTGATAAGAGCAATAGTAGGTATATGTACAAAATGTATATGTATGTACATACATATGTACCTACCATACCTAGGTACTTGTACAAAACTCATATCTCGGAATTTCGATATCGCCTATCGGTGACCTAAGATTAGGTCAATTTGAGTGATCGTTACCAAGCCGCTGTAAATAAACATTTGACGTGTTTTGAAATACATTTATTTTGACCAGCATTGCATCGCGTTGATGTTCAACACAATATCACGGATACGTTTTACGTCTCACGCGACACGTTTCATGGTAAATATACCCATTACCCAAAACCTCTTTTGGGATGCCATATCTACTATTTCCAACCAATTCGCAGCTACGCCAGTTAACATCTGAACAGCTGTAGGTAACACCAGCTGGCATTTTTGGCGTGCTAAATCGTGCATCGGACCCAGTGGGGCGGTCCGGTGGCCCACCCGACTGCACCACCCCGCGGGAGAGCCGAGCGCCACCTGATGTCGATTGGAACCACTGACCTTCTGCTTGGCTGAGACGCGTGCGAGCGGCGTTGCATCTTCATTCTTCACCTACCTCGAATGAGGAAGTCTTTTGGTGCGGTTTTGGTCAAGTTTTAGTTGTTTGCTAGTAATAGGATAATCAACTCTCATACTTTCTGAATCAATATTTCGAGTGGAAAAAAAAAACAGACAAACGGCCTTTTGAAAAGTTTTTCACCAAACTCAAGTAGGTACCTATTTTGAGGAATACATTGGAAATTATTTGGGAACACATTTGACATTACCAACACACAGCTTTTACGTCAGGGAAAAAGAGGCTCCACCGAAGCTTCGTGTACATTGAACAATAAGTTTAAAACCTTCTGTTTGGCTGAGACGCGTGTGAGCGGCATTGCATCTACCCCGAATGAGGGAGTTTTTCGGTACGGTTTAGGTCAAGTTTAAGTTGTTTGCTAGTAATAGGATAATCAACTCTCATACTTTCTGATTCAATATTTCGAGTGAAAAAAAAAACCAGACAAACGGCCTTTTGAAAAGTTTTTCACCAAACTCAAGTAGGTACCTATTTTGAGGAATACATTGGAAATTATTTGGGAACACATTTGACATTACCAACACACAGCTTTTACGTCAGGGAAAAAGAGGCTCCACCGAAGCTTTGTGTACATTGAACAATAAGTATAACAAGCCTGAAATGGCCTGAAATGAAATGGCTGGCTTCGCACCAAACTAGGTGTCAATCTGTCGGGCGGTTACCGAAACATAATGCGATGCAATTCGTCACGGGCTAGTCCGTTTAGTTCGGTTTGTTTAGGGTCGGGTCTTTTATTACCTCTTGTCGATAGTTCTTCTAAATCACAGTAAGCCGCTAAAGTTGATCCTTCACAATTCTTAACCGCACAATACTGGGTCTCCACGATTTCCTCCCCCGCATCATTGAACAAGAAAAAATATTCTGAAGCAATATACAGACAAATTAGAGCAAACGGACATAAACTATTACAATACAGACACTTGCATAAAAGTTAACTTCAACACTGTTAACAACTCTCACTCCATTTGAATGCACCTAATCTGGTCATTTTCAGTGTGAACTGTGAAGGCATTGACGGCAGCCCCCAATTAGCTAGTCACCAGACAATCCATCGTGAAAACAGATAGTCACCCTCACCAGACACCTAAGGGCTTCTGGGTTATGAGCACTCACAACGACCTCACCTGTTAGCATGTACCTGTGGTCATTTCATTCTGTGATCGATGACAGTCTTTCGCTCTGCCTAATTGGGTGCATTTCGCCGTTACCATAAAAGTCAGTTCGAACGCCACACAATCAGCCAATTCAGATTCCCTGGAAGTCTGCGGAAGGACGCTAAGGGTGGTGGATGGCCTATTGATCACCACCGATCGCTCGAACTCAAAGCCAATGTGGAGGTCTAACTCGCTTTGTGGTTGTAAAGCTCCTGAATGGTGATTGAGGTCGCTTCACTAGTACTTTGCGGCAGTGTTTGCGGTAACCTGTACATACGTATACACTGCAAGGAGCAGACTCTTCTCCCTCCCCTAGTTTCTGTTTTTGCGATACTCTCACAACCTGTACATATATGAAGATATGCATTGAATTTAGTTTCAGCGAACTTAAAAGGTCAAGTGATCTCTGCCAAAGGCTTTGAAATCACAAATTGATCACAAAGGTGCTTAGTGCGACGCTGCGTAAAATCCTTCAGACTATGTGACCCTTTTGTGACCTAACCTGTGTCACGGGACCTGAAACCTATCAGTCATATCATTAGCAAGACATGGGGTATGGGTCCTGCGTAAAATCCTTCAGACTATGTGACCCTTTTGTGACCTAACCTGTGTCACGGGACCTGAAACCTATCAGTCATATCATTAGCAAGACATGGCGTATGGGAAAAGAATGCCGAATCGGAGCTCTGATGTAATGGCTTTTGGATGTAGCAAATATGTCCTTAAGAAGGTAATGTACCTTTCCATGCTGACCAGTGACGCCATCAGAGGTGCTGATGTCAATGACATTAGATAAACATTGATGCCACTTATATACCGTTCGAGTGTTGAAAATCGGCTAGCGTGCTGTGAAAAACCGAAGGCAGATACACCGTTACTTGGGTTTCGAGTTCGACGCTTCTGATTTAGCTGCCATCGGACGCGGGATATATGTGGCCCATACAAGTCACATAAATTTACCATATTCCACCAGAAACGACACTCAGGTGCAAACTTGTCCATTTGACAGTGCGCTTTCGTTCTCGATACATTATTGTTGTATAAATTGAACTCCTAAAACTGACATTTGATTGGTATCGAAGGTGCTGAAAAGCAGTAACAGCCACGGAACCCTTTCACTTTACACCCACTAAATATTGGTGTTCGAAACAAGTAGCAAGGAATGCATTCCACTTGGAGCCAAATACCTATATTGTGTGATATATTCACTG